CTGCTTTTCAATTTTTGGAAAAGGATTTCTCTCCAGGCCAGCTCACCCTGGTGGGCCGTTGTTTTTTTTTTTTTTTAATTGTGATGTACTTTTTCGTACATGATTTTGTCCAAAGCGCTCGTTAAAATGTCTTGGAATCTCATACAGGTGAAGTCTCCTTCCTATTAGGTTTATACTATCACTTTAAAAAATTCCATTTGTGGGATTTTGAGACATTTTTGGACGTCAGGGTGTCTGTCCCACTGTGGCCGGGCCTCCCTGGAGACTCCTGTCCCCTGCATGGGGAGGGGCCGGGCCAGGCTGGACGGCTCCCTCTCACCTCGTGCCGGTGTCGCCGTGACGGAGTGTGGCTCTCATGTTGTTGGCTTAAATGGAGACGCTGGGTCTCTGTCACGGGGGCCTTGTACGACTGCAGGGGGTGGTGGGTGCCGGCTGAGCCCAGGACAGACCCGGGCAGCTCCCCTGCCTCCCCAAGCCAGGCTCCCCGGTGCTCTGACTTCCAGCGCCACCTGAGGCCTGCAGCAGGCAGAACCAGAACCCTCCCATTTCCAGGCTAGGAAACGGCCAAGGGTGCTTGAGCCGAACCACGTGTGGGCCGTTCTTCAGCCATTTCCACCACGATATCGGAATTGAACACATTGGCCAAATAAAGTTGAAATTTTACTACCTCTTGTCTCTGCTGTATGAGCTCTCCAGGCCACAGGGAATGGGCTGGGGTCAGGCCTTTCCTCGTCGGGGCACCTTTCTTGGAGTGTGGTGCTTCCACGGGAGCCACAAGCATGTCACAGGTCACCAAGCGCAGACGGCCAGGCTGCTTCGGCTGGATGGGGATGGGTGTCCTGGGGCATCTAGCGGCCACTACATGAGTGCTGCTCCACGTGGAGCCCACCCAGCCAGTGCCCTGTCTTCCTGCCACCGCAGGGCCTGACGAGAAATTGGCAGCAGCGTGAGCTCAGACATGGGTGAACTGATAGCACTGCTACGCTTACCACCGAGCCTGCATAAATCAGGGTCCGTGTTAAATCACACAGGTTTTAAAATGTAATTTGATTTCTAGAACCTCAGCTTGCTTGTAGTTCATACCGAGAAAAGAACAATTGGAATTGGTTTTCCTACAGACAGGAAGCCTAGCTGTCAGGCTGGGCAGACGGCACTTGTGAGCCTGACTTGGTGACTCCTGGGGGTCCTGGGGAGCTTGGTGGCACCTGTCGGTCCTTCTTGAGAGCAGGACAGGAGACCCGCACGGGGGCTGGCAGGACTCCCATGGTTGCCCAACCATCGCCACCTGGGGCTTTGCATCTGTTGGTCTCTGAGCATGTCTACAGTGGCAGGTGGGACCGGAGGGCCACCTGCTGACATCCTGGGAGGGAATGGACGTGGACATACAGTCCACCTTAGGTCAAGGACAGAGCACACAAAGCTAGGTTTCCAAGGAGCCCTGCCTGCCACTGCACGAGTCCCACCAAACCCTCCAGCCCCGACTTGCCCCCAGAATAGGAAGGACACACGCATTGCTCGATCCCTGGCCCCCCAGCTCTGATGCCCGTGAACTGGTCGGGGCTTCCCGGGGCCGGTGCGCAGCAGGAGACACGTGCCCGGAAGATGTGCTGTGAACATGGTTCTCCCAGTGTTCTCTGCCTACTCTCCCAGCCAGAGACCCATGTGCCTGCCCTTGCCCTCCCCGCTGCCAGCAGCCCAGATGAGCGGTCCACAGCCAGTGTGCCCGGAGGACCCAGCGTGAGCACCCTGGGCGGCGCCAGCCAGGCCCTCTGCCCCTCCTCCAGCTCAGCGGCCCTGGTCCTTGGGTGGCCTGTGCCGGCGCTGGCTTCCAGCTCGTCCACTCCAGGGTTCATGCGTGTGGTGCCGACACAATGAGACGCGTCTCCAAGGAAAGGCGAGCTTGGGCACTTTAGCTTCTGTAGGAGGAGGGTGGCAGCCCTGCCCTCCAAAATGTGAGCTGTTCCCCGAGGGGGACACATGGACTCCCGCGGAGGAAACCAGCACAGAACAAGGCCATCAGAAGTCACAGCTGGGGTGGGAGGCTGAGCCCAATCCTGTGCTCCCTGCCCCAGCGATGGGTGTGAGTGACCCCGAGGACCCAGAGAGCGGGGGACCAGGCGCAGCTGCCCAGCACTGCTGTCATGTGCTCTGGGCAGGGGGGTGGGGAGGGGAGGCAGTGAGTCACCCATACCTTCCCTCTTTCGCAGAGGCAGCTGATTAGCACATTCCAGGGCCTGGATCTACTGGGAGGCTGTGGGGTGGAGTCCAAAACCTAGCAGGGCTGGTGGATTAGCAGGCAACTTTGCACGCTTAGGGTGGTCAGTTAAGGCTTAACAGCCCGGGACATCCCAAACCTCCCTGTCTTCCTCCCCCCCCTCCCTCCTTCTCTTCTGCTCTCTCCAGGTGCTTAGAAGCTTCAGTCCCGGAAGTGCACCAACCCCTGGAGGTCCTCCGGCCTCAAAGCCTACTGGCAGGGAAGGGGCCTGCTGTGGGCCTGCACCCATTTTCCTAACAGGCCCTCCAGCTCCTGGCTTCTGCCGGATGCAAAGCCTGACTAGTTGTGTTCCTCGGACTCTTCAGAGTGAGTTTTTGGATTCATTGTCTTACTTTGCTTTAGTCCTCTAGAAGGCAGAAGCCCAACATTGTACAAACCAGGTCACTCCACGAGTCCACCTGGGCGTCAGGGACCAAACTGGATCAATACAGGTTTGGTTCTACTGTGGTCGTGTGAGAGATAGACTTTGCGAACAATCTCAGGTCAAATGCTCACCCCTGCTTCTGACAGAAGGTTTCCAAATGAGATGCCTCAGGTCATGCCCGTGGTTTAGAGGACAGTCCCATGTCCTCGCTAGAATAAAAAGCACATTAAGTACCTTTCAGGGGGTCTGTTGTGACTGGGGGGCTCTGGGCACCCGTCCCTTCTCTGATCCAAATGGAAACGCCAAAACCACAAACCCCCAAGCTCTCAGCTCACCTTAGTTGGGTGGACCAAGGGGTGCATCATCGGGGTTGCCAACAAGCTGGCGCTTGGCCTGTCTCTAGCCCAAAGCCGGGTCACTCTCAGGAAGGGCTGCACCTTTGGCAGCCTCATCCAGGGTTCTGCGAGGGCAGACAGAAGTTCCCATGGCACCTGAATAGGCAATCTTCACATCAAAGGAAAGTTCTGTCTCCTGGAAACCAGCCAGAAGAAGCTACACTGACTCCGCCCAAGAGACCAGGAGTTAAGATCACCTGGCACCATCCTCTGAGCCCCGGAGTACAAGGACGCCGGGCTCCAGGCTCGTATGGGGGCCCTGGCAGGGCCTGGGCTGAGAGGGGGGTTCCCGTGGGGCTGGACCGGCCAGCAGCAGGTAGGGGCTCTGAGGCAGGCTGGGGAACCCTTGTCAGGGCAGGGAGTCTGTCTTAGGCAGTGCCCTGTTTCTCCACAGCATTTGGCCTAAGGCTTTGCACCTAGAGGGTGTTAAATACATTTGTTGATTCAGTTTTGTTGGATCAAAACCAGCCTGGTGACGCAAGGCTGCTGGTAAGCAGGCTGCCTGCCCCTCCCAGTGCCCGTCATTCTGGGCTGTGTCCTCGTTCAGGACTTGGGTGACCACCCAGGGGGATCTCACCAATGTCACGGGTTGAACTGCATCCCTCCAATATTCCTGTGTTGAGGTATTAACCCCCAGAACCTCAGACGGTGATCCTATTTGGAAATACAGTGGTCACAGATGTGATCAGTCAGGATAATGTCATGCTGGCATAGGGGGACCCTAATCCGATGACTGGTGTCCTTATAATAGGGGAAATTTGGACACATACATGCACGCGGGGAGAAGATCATGTGGACGTGAAGGCCGAGATGGTGCGATGTGTCTATGAGCCAGAGAACACCAAGGACCACCACCAGAAGCCAGGACACAGGCCTGGAACAGATTCTCCCTCCGAAGGAACCAAGCTGCTGACACCGTGATCTTGGACTTGTGGCCTCTGGAACCACAAGAAAATAAAGTTTGTTTAAGTCCCCAGTCTGGTACTTTGTAACACCAGCCCTAACATGTGCTGCAAGGGCTGTCCCCGACCCCACGGGCATGCTCCTGGGTGTGCACGCCCATGTCTCCTGCCTCTTCTCTCCACTGAAGCCGAAGCCGCTTCCAGACGGTGGCTACAGCAGGGAGACAGCTACTGCTGGCTCAGTCTGCTGGGCATCTCCGTAGCACCCCACTGGTTACACTCTTGCAGGCGTCTGGGCCAGCAGAGCATACCCCACGGGATATGATGGCCCATCTGGGGAGCAGACTGGATGCTCTCTTAAGTGGGAGCACATGTGCCCTTGGCAGAAAGTGGCAGGAGCCTGGAAGCAGGGGAAGGGTGGGGGGCAGGGACATGTGGCTGGAGGGAAACAGGGGCATTGTGGGGAGGTCTTCCTGGTGGGCAGCATGGGCTGGGCAGGTGGGACCGGAGGCATTTATTTAGATTCTAACCCGGGAAATTTCTGAGGAGGAGGGCAGAGTGGCGCAGGCCCGACGGAAGGTGACAAGTGACCGGGAGGGATACAGGTAGGGCGGGGCCTTCTCTGGCATGGTCAGGGCCCTGTGCCTCCTCCACTGTGGGCAGCCCCCTTGCTTTCCAGGAGGTGGAAGCAGCCACCCTCACCAGACATCGTGGCCTTTTCCCTGAGTTTCCAGGCCTTGGGGAGATGCCTGGGCCCTCTCCACGACCTTGGTACCTGCTCGCCTTCCCCAGGGGTCCTGTCTTTCTAGTGCTTTCTCCTGCCCTCTGTAAGGCACCTTCTAGGCCCAGCTGTGGGGCAGACAGCAGTGGCCAGGAAGGATCTGACCCCTTTGGCCGGGGCACAGCGACAGGTGGGCTGAAAGATGAGCCACTAAACATGATCCTGAGCGCAGGGCCGGAGCTGCTCCGTTTCAGCCCCTCCCAGCATGAGCATGACTGCGCAGCTTTAGCTTTATATAGCGCCGCGGGTCCTATATAAGGGGAAGTGCCCGGTCACAGGGAGCACAGGGGCAGCGGCGGCGCTGGAGGAGACTGCATGCGCTGTCCGATCCAAGCCGGACACGTCCCTTCCCCGAGCAGCAGGGTCCCCACGAGGCGGACCCGCCACAGCACCCAGGATGCCCAGCAGGACCAGCCGCTACGCCCGATACAGCCCACGGCAGCGGCGCAGGCGGCTGCTAGCCGATCGCAGCGTGCGCTTCCCCAACGACGTCCTGTTCTTAGACCACATCCGCCAAGGGGACCTGGAGCAGGTAGGCCGCTTTATCCGGGCTCGGAAAGTCGCCCTGGACACCATCCACCCCTCAGGTGAGTGCCTGTGGGGCCAGCGCAGTGTCTACGGGGTGTCAGGGGAAGGTCTCAGCCTTGACCCCTCCTGCCCTGCTCTGCCTTGCCCTGCGCAGGCCTGGCCGCCCTGCACGAGGCCGTGCTCTCTGGAAACCTGGAGTGTGTGAAGCTGCTGGTCAGATACGGGGCTGACATCCACCAGCGGGACGAGACTGGCTGGACACCCCTGCACATCGCCTGCAGCGACGGATACCCAGACATAGCCAGGTGAGAGGCTTAGGCCAGGGGCTTTGTCCGAAATGCTCTGGCCTCAAGTGGCCTCCAGGATGTGGTCTCCCAAAAGATGGCCCTGGGAGTACAGCTAAGAAAGAACCCTAAGAGCTTCTAGAATCTCCTTTCTGCCCTCTTCCCTAGAGCAAACTGGAAAAGTCAGCCATTGTTTCTGGAGGGTCAGGTTTCCTCCTCTTCACCCCTCCTGGAAAAATTTTAAAAAAGGTGTACCTCAGGACTCCAGCCTGCAACCCTGGGGTTGGGGTGAGAGCACCCTCTGGGCCACCTCCCCACTGCCAACCTTTGCACCCCAGGTACCTCATTTCCCTGGGGGCCGACAGAGACGCAGCCAACGACAACGGAGACCTGCCCTCAGACCTCATCGACCCAGACTTCAAAGACCTGGTGGAGCTCTTCCAAGGGACCAAGATGGACTGAGCCCAGCCCTGCCCTCCCAGGGCTCTGGCCCTCCCTAGAGAAGTTGGGTGCCCACCTCCCCCAGGTGCTTGGACCTGCCCTATCGGTCCGGCCGGCAGGGGGCCAGGACCCCCGTACCTGGGCACAACCCCCACCCCCCACACTTCTGGCCTGGCTTTTTCTCCAGGTGAATTTTTTATTGTGACACTTTTTACTTTTTCAATAAACGTCATTCCCTAGCCCCTGGTGGTAGCCTGATTACTGGGGACGGGACCGTCCCAGTTCCCCCGCTTCCGGTGGTCAGCAGGCCCTGCTATCCATGCCAGGCTTGGGGGTCCAGGGGACAGCGCCAGCGCAGCGAGCCAGAATCTCGGGGCTCCCGGCTCTGAGGTCTCCGACCGCGACAGCCCCGGACCCCCAGGACCCCGCCGTCCCCAGGCCCTCAGCTGCGCTCCCCGGGGCTCCGCAACCCCAGACACCGCCGCTTCCGCACCCCCACCCCGCTGCCCCCGCGTCCCCTGCCCCTGGACTCCTCAGACCCCGCCGGCCCGGCCCCCGCCCTACTCCGCGTCACGCCAGCCCAGCGCAACCCGGTGCGCGGGCACCGCCACCCACCCAACCGGCCTCAGGCCCCGCCCCCCGAGGCCCCGCCCCCGCCGCCATGCGCGCGCCGGCCGTCACGTGGCCCTGACGCTCCCCGCGCCTGCGCGCGCTGCGGTGACGTCACTTCCGGCCGGGCCCCTGCTGGCGGCGGCGGCGGCGGCGGCAGAGCGGGCGAGGTGAGGCGAGCGCGGGGGCGGGGGCGAGGGCGGGGGCGAGGGCGGGGGCGGGGCGGGCGCGGCCGGGATCCGCCCTGGCGCGGCGGCTGGCGAGGGGAGGGCCCGGGCGGGGTCGCGGAGGGCCGGGGGCGTGCGACCCGTTCGCTCCGCTGCGCCCGAGCCCCTGGGCCTGCTGGGGGGCGCGCATCCCGCCGCGGAGGGTGCGGCGAGGAGGGGGCGTGGGGACGTGGCGGGGCCGGTCCGCGCCGGGTCTGGGGACCGGGCGCCCCATATCCCCCGGGGAGTTGGGCTCGGAAGGAGCAGCCAGGGGCCCGCCCTTTTCAGTCTCTGAAGCAGCCGCCGCGGAGGTGGACAAATGTCCTGCGTTCCCCGTTTTCCAAAGGGAACATTCCTGGGGCTGCCTCTTGGTTCTTGGAATGCAGCTGGCCAGGCCCCCCCCCCCGCGGTTTTTCCTTCTTTCCGTTATCCAGCCTTTCCCACAGTCCCAGCCTCCGCAGGCCAGGTGGTGCGGGGCTAGGTGCAGGGTGGGAAGGGGTAAGATGGGCCCGGCCCCCAGGGAGCTAGCGCACTGGCTGCAGGGGCTGATCCCGCCACGGGGGCTGCCGCCGTTGCTGCTGGACGGAGTGCCGCCAAGGAGTGCAGGGCCGATGGGGTGGGAGCCG